AGTTAGGATGCCAATATCATCAATCAAAATATCATCAAACTCCTTTACGTTTCCAACGTGAGTTTAGTCAGTTTTGTCAAATTCACAATTTCTTCAATATTATAGAAATTTCGTAGCAATTTCAAAATATCAAGAATTAAAAGTTGCTATATATGGAACGTTCAAATTTGAAAGTCGAAATAGAATCAACTTTTCTCAGAGAACGTTTTTGAAATTCAGATAATTGAGTCCATTTTCAGCGTTTAATTCGAGACCGACTAGTGACTAGGCCATTTCGCATCTTTTTCAATGCAAAACTTAACGTCCAAGTCGAATTTCCTACACGATGTCAACTTTTTGAGAGATACTGTATACATATACAATTCATGGATTTTTTTTTACCACGATAGTGACCTCTGAAAGTTGGAGGGACATTAAAATTTGTAGTTAAATCGAATGTCAATTGGTTCCTCAAAAAGTAAGCGGGATTACGAAAGGGACAATATCAATAATTGTTCAATCTGATAAATAAATAGATAGAAAGTATAACCCACTGCGGCGCCAATGGAATTAATAATCTGAATCTGATTACACCAAAAGAAGCTACATGTTACTGTAAACGAAGCAATGAAGTAAATGAAAACATGGATACCCTGTTCGGTACTTCGTAAACGAAGCAAGTTAGAACACATGCTTGCATGTGCTTTTTTTATGAAATATGAAAAGTAAAGGAATCACCTCCTACATTCTTTTGCACATATTCATTCACCCTGTATGTTTAACTAAGCGCTAAACTGTGAAATAGTTATTATCTGTTCATCACCTCTGAACCAAATCAGTGAAGAATTAGTGGTAATTATAATCAAAATTACGTCATAATTATTGATGTGAGTATACATATACATGATAAATGTGTAAACTGATAAAAGGCGCGTATATACATAATGTGATGAGTATATATGTGAATTAATTTTTTCTTTGCAAATATCAACGAAACTATAACACGCTGAACTCGAGGAAGAAAAGATAGCTAAATTATATTAGCTTATTAACGGAGATATTCAATATTCATCAGATCTTATATACATAATCATGAATTTAAATTGACTGAAAGATAAACGATAGTCATCGTTTATACCGGCGCTTGTGCATTAAAATATTACAAGACTTGATTTCGAATCTTATGGTTGATGTTATAGCTCTTGAGAATGACTGAAATGAGTGCTAATTGAGCCATTACATTATACTCAACTGAAGGTTTCGGAGATTATAAATAAACTTTTTTTTTTCTATTCCACAAGTATTACGATTAGTACGATATATACAAGTAGGTAATTATGTTGCCAAAATTAAAACAATAATATGTCCATCATATCCTATATAGAGACCTGCTGTGATTTGTGAATTCGTCATGCTTCAATCGATATTGGAGAAAAAATACAGAATTGAGGATATTTAACTCGTAAGAAGAAGTATAATAGGTCATGACGTTAGACTATTTAGGGAAAATCTCAAATTTTGAGAATATTATCATTATAATGTATCATATTGATAGGAAGTGCTTATTTTGAATTCAGACTCGAAATTAACGAAAAAGGTATTCAATATCCGATCTACGCCTTCCTTTATTAACGTGTTCAATATTTGTACTTTATTTCGAATCCTTTTGTATGTCTTGGTAAATGAAAATTGAATTAAAGCTGTTTACTCATTTTGTTCAAAAAAAATTAATGATTTTGAACTTCGTGAAGGCCCTGAAATTCCTTTGGAATACCACCTTATACCTAACCGTTTCTACCGTAATTTGTATCAAATAATGCACGAGATAATATTATGATCGGAATCCTTAACTTAACGTAAAACCGGGCGTAAAACGTCACCTATGTACTAAACTAACTCGAAAAAAACTGAAATATAAAGAGAATATGAAGAAAAAATTAAGGATCTTTAAACTGCAATGTTCTGTAGATCGGTAATGAAGTGTACGCGAACACATGTTTATAGAAAAAAAAATGTATTTCGACCTGAGAAATAGGCCCCTGAAAGCACAATATCGAATTTCGAAACACCTTGTAAATTGATTATATTGAAAGTGAAATCAGTCGATTTACCAGCTTCATATTTATAATTAGGAAAGTTTATGAATTAATTCATTGCTAAATTATTAGCTCGTTAACTAACAGGAAACACAAGAAAATAAATAAAAACCGAATCATGCATGTGTGGTATAGGTCACAGAAACAACTCATATGGAATGGACATTTTTTGGATGCTTTCTGATTTTTCATAACTATAGAAAAAAATGCATATTTAAGGTGTATTTGGTGGAGGATTTAATATTATTACCAACTGTGGATGTTCGATGGCTTGGAATGTATGTTTTCATGTAACGGAATATTTGAACATGATTTTGTATGACAAAGCATGATTAAATACTTTGTTTCTTCTTGCATTATCCTGATCAGTATCTTCTCAATGAGAGATTGATTTTTTCTAGAATAAAATGGTGAATTTTCAAATCGTTCCTTCACCAAAATTTCAAATGTACGTATTTGTTCCTTGGAATACTTTTAACAATGCTTTGCATAACCAGAAACACGCCGTCATGGTCTTATATCAAGTACTCTTATCAATAGCTACATCAGGATCTTCAGGCTGAGCAAAGACAACAGAATGTCTTGCACCACTTACACTCGTATGATATGAAAGTAGTTATATCCATAGAGACGGTAATTACTTGCACCAAGTACTCGTATGAAATGAAATTTTGTCGAGAGGGAGCCTGATAAATGGTTACAACATCCAAGGAAGGCAACAGACTCTCAAATTATCCACTTCCACAGCAACTAAAAACACGCTCTTGCGGCTATCTGAACTAAAAAATAGAAAATAAATTGTTGTTTGAAAAAATTTGAGAACACAATTTTATAAATAGGCAAACTTAAAAAAGGTGAATTGTGTTGATAAATACACAACATAGAAAATTTTAGCAACTCTGTTATCAGTATTTTCTATATGTTGTGTATTTATCATATAACACACTCATCATCATCATTTGTTCATTTCATTTTGGATATATACAATCTAGGCTCTGGAATTCATTGCCTGAGGAAGTATTCCCAACAACATATAATCTCCAGAAGTTCCAAAATAATTCCAATACCTACCTCCTGTCCCTATCCTCCCTAGGAACGCACGATGTTCTTTGAACATTATAGGGATTTCCTTTCGGACGCTCCAAGCGATATTAAAAAAAAAATTGGTCTGCCCCATCCCTGTACTTTCGTATTCCTAAAGCAAATTGAATTTCCTTTTCTCTTATAATATACTATTCAAAATTGTCTACTTTGTCCAGCAAAAAGAAATATCAAACACAATTTCTTGGTCTACTGCGATCACATAAACTTCAGCGAAATTAAAGAAAACGGAGTAGGCATTTTTTAACAAAAATGTTGATAATGGCAATCGATTCGGACTGGTCACAAATACTCCAATATCAATTTTCAGAACAATATCTCATGAAGGGTATTTTTTATTAACGTAACAATTTTTGGATAATTGCATTTTCCAAGTCACCGTATATAATGATTCTTATGAGAATTTGAACGATACCAGGCATGTTGGTGGTCAGGTCATCTGTCTACAGAGTGAGATAAATAACGAATAAGATCAAAATAAATAATAATAAGGAGAAAAAACTAAATAACACCAATCGAAAAATAACATCAGCAACAAAAACATCAAGTTCAGATTTTTGTATTCTCGATGAAATCCTTTATTCTCTATACACTTTTCATATCTCTTTCCAACTCTCCCCAGTTCTTCTGGTGATATCTCTCCTCTATTTCTTGGCCTGAATTTCTTACCCTGTAAGCCAAATGATCTAATCGGGACTACCTTCATGTCGGGTAATATTCAAATTCTTGGAAGAATTATGTGACTTGAAAAATGCAGTTATTCAGGAATTGTTACGTTGATAACAAACACTCCTCATACTGTTAATCTATGTTGGAGTTTTTGTGGCCAGTCCAAATCGATTGCCATTATCGAACTTTTTTTTGTGAATCCTAATCTGTTTTCTTTAATCTTGATGAAGTTTTTTGATATCATTAGGCTTAGAAATTGTGATTGATATTTTTTTTGCGTGACAAAGTAGACAATTTTGGGTCGCGGGACATTCGGGAATACCGGGAAACGAGGAGGCAGACAGACTGGCAAAGATCGGTTCAGGACGGACCTCGGTCGGACCGGAACCAATCTTGGGAATACCAAATAGCCTGGCAATGTCCTCCATAGAGCAACAGCTGCAAAAGCAATTCCTCAAAATATAGAAGGACACACCAGGAATGAGACAATCGAAGCTCCACATAAAGGAACCTTCGAAGAGGTTCGCAAAAGAGGTTTCATTCCTAAACAGGCGAAACCTTAAAATGGTAGTGGGGCTCCTAACGGGGCACAACCACCTCAATAGGCACCTAGAGCTTATTGGGATCAAGGATGACCCCCTTTGCAGATGGTGCCTGGAAGATGACGAAACGTCATCACATGTCCTCACTGAGTGTCCAGCACTGACGCATCAGAGGAGGGCTGTCCTTGGCAACATAATTTTGAGGCCAGAGGACGTAAAAGAGATTCAGCTGAGGAAGCTGCTGAACTTCTCCAAGGCAGTGGGCATACCCAGCTGTATGTCGTAACATGTGGGCGCACAATGGGCCTACGTGCAGGGGGTTCACCCACCCACCAATGCTTCGAAGAAGAAGAAGAAGAAGAAGAAGACAATTTTGAGTAGTATATCATGAGAAATGAAATCTTGAATTGTCCAAATAGAAATGCGAAAGTACAGGGGTGGGGTGGAGCAAATTGTAACATATACTGTATAAAATCAGGTTTTATTAGTGTTTCAAACAACAATTTAGGTCAACATAAATCAGTTGTATTTTCAGATATATTCTCCTGAAACCATATATATAGTTAACGAAAATCTTAATGATCTAGACGGGTTTGATTTTGCTGTAATTTTTATTTCGTTTTTGTTTTCAGCTGCTGCAAATGACCAAGAAACGGCAGCTAGTTGGTGGTCATCATCAGAACAACTCGCTGAAAACAATGATTTCTTCTCGTCCCAAGGTGTCTATCAGACCCATCCTGGTTTGCTTCCCGGGAACAGTGGGAGAAGATCACATGGACCAGTGAAACATTTGGATTATAGGTATGTGCCCTACTAAAATTGATCCTGAAATTGAGCAAGCTCGATTTCTCGATTGTCTCATTGATTTTCACAAAGCCAAAAACATCTCAATTATTCTGCTCAGAAGAACAATCACGAAAGAGAAACAGGAAAAAAAGAATTGGTTGCATCAACAAATAATTTGTGTTTGGATTAATTTTGTGAGTACATTTTTGAATCAACTAGATAGATAATCCTCTCAAAGATTCAACTTGTTTTAATCAAGGAAGCATTTCAATTGAATTAGCGGTATAAAATTAATTCGATGAACAAAACAAATAGTTATATTCCAAACACAAATTATGTTGGCCCATTATCCAGATTGAATCGAATTTCAACTGATGACAGGTGCATTCTGTTGGTTTAATAAATATATTATCGACCTGATAAAATAGTTATTCTTGTATCAAGTGGACCGACCACCCTGTAAATCAAATTTTTCTATCAAAATTTGACGAATTGTGAACAAAAATCGACTTCTTTCAGGAGATCTCATAAATGTATAGTTTGGCTAAAAATTAATTTATTCAGTACTTTACGGAAGCACTGTACCTACTATTGATGAAGGAGCACAAAATCAGTGCCTTCGCCAAAAATTCAAAAGACGGTATAAATATAAATAATCTCCGGCCGCGTTTCAGACCGTCACAAGGACCTCAAAAGCGCAATTTCAAGATAACCACTATTTTCCTTTGGGATTAATTCATTCACAACAATGAAAAATTCTTACTCAGAAGGTATATTCAGTAGTAGGTACCTAACCCTAAAGTACTTTATCGGCGAATTCAAACGATCTTGAGTACCTACCTATACCTATATCCTTTCAAATTTTGTAGGAGGGACTTTTTTTGTGATATTCTATCGCTTAAATGAATTTTTTTTTATTTCTGTACTATACTACCCTGTCAAAGCAACTATAATAGTTATTTATGTATAAGGATCATAAAGACGATCATTATGGTACAAGTCGTGAATGTTATCGGGCGAGGCGTAGCCGAGTCCGATAACACGGCGTGTGCCATAATGATTGTTTATGATTCGTATTACATACAAAATTTTATCTGATGGCATTTATATCAAGACATTTTCGAAAAATTAAAAACTGCATTTTCGACATGTCACAATGACAACTATTTTTAAAGGAGTAAGTATTGTGTAGTTTCAAATATTAGTAGGTGAGTGAGCTGTGCTTTGCCATTATATTAATATTACAAATTGTAGTAATTGTTCTTTTACCATTTATAATAAATAGTTTTGTACATAGTTATGCATTTTGAATAAACTTTTTTGATCAAACCATTACATGTTTTCCTTATAGAATTTCATTATGGTACTTAGTACCATAATGAATTCATTATGGTACTTAGTCCCATAATGAGCTTCCTTATGTCATCAAAATTGAGTGACATAACGTTGTCATTATGACATGCCATCAGATAAAACTATTTACAGGACTAGGTACTCAATTCATTGTTGAACCATTAGTGGATGTATCCGAAGTTTTCATTCCCAATTCGTGATTTTAGTAAAAGCTACGGAATTACATGATCAATATTACAGGTGATGCACATAATTATAGTACAGCTAGGATCTACAGTTTTTGTATCACCGGTGATAGATAGAAATGGTTTCTACCTGCAGAATGTCGAATTCGGACTCGGTGGCAAACGTATTGAAACAAAAAACCGTCTCATCCATATAAAAAAAAAATACTTGAGATAATTCATGAATGTATGCTGATATTAAAAGTGCTTTATTCTACGTTTCTTGAGAATTCAGCCATAGCTATGGTATATTGTACCATATTGGACCAAGTAATGGTTTATTTATTATAATTCTCATCTTAGGTACCTACCTCAAATTCAATTGTATGTTACATGAAAAATTGTGGTTTTACGTATCATTTGAGAATTAATTATTAGTGGGAAGAGTCCTTATAATTGATTATTCATTTTCTTTTCCTTAGGACAAAAAATGTGACAAAATCATTCAATCATGAATTCTAAATGTTCCGTTATTTCTCGTATTTCGTCCTATTGTTATTGTTTATGATTTTTGTTTGCAGGACATCCTCGACTGCAGAATTGAGAAGAAATCCTTCACTGTCAGCTCCTGACGAGTGCGCTAGAGCCTGTAGAGAAGGAGAACCACCAAAAATATGTTATTACCACTTCACATTGGAGTATTACACAGTATTAGGAGCGTAAGTATAACATGGTATGAATAGGATATAATCATTTCTTCTCCAACTGACATCGAAAGTGTCTTTTGAATAACACTCCACAGGCAGAAAAGTTTGTTACTATGAAACGTCCCAAGTAATTTCAATCAAATTGATAATCAAAATTGACAATGACTTTTGGTGAACAGAAACTGATGGGTTATTTGGATTTGCGTGAAATTGAAAGAAATTTAGAGAAAAAATCTTATGTTTCACATGGCAGGAGAGAAGATGTAATGCCTAGGCTATGAAACGCCTGCCGCGGCATTAAATCTTGTACTTTTCCACCTAGTGAAACGAATAACTATTCTGAGATTATTTTGTCCATGAAATATACAGGGTTCATCATTTTCATTTTAACTGATATGCCAGAGAATGTATCGTATCCCGCAATCCAGCAACTTGTTTTTCATTTGTTCTTCTCTCTTCGAAGTGATCAATTCGAAATTCAGAGATCAGGTTGTTTCCATTTTCAAGGATGTTCGAATTGACTAGGTATGTCATTGTGTGTGAGTTCCTTGTTGAATATAATAAATACTAACCTGTGTTGTTTATTCTTGATGACATAGTATATCATTATTTTTAGTTCCAAGGAGCTGAGGTCCAATTTCAATTCCTAGGAACTAGAAGTGTTGCCTAGCAACAAACCTATTTCTGTGTCAGTAATAGAAACGTCAATTCAAGAGCTAATGTTGGTATAAATATGGACGACTTGTCTATCGGTTGCAGAAAAAAACCGTTTTTTTTTTACACTCGTGCAAGAGGTCACCCCTTTAAACAGTCTCAACTTTTCGCACTATTTCGAGTATAATACACTGAGATAAACGATAAACTATTATTTAGACGCTGATGCCATGAGAAAGGAGCTACGCCACTCAAAAGATCGAGTTGGAGAACTTAATTCATGCGCATTGAGGACCTGTCATTATATCTTACTCTAACTTGTGTTTCTGAACACCAAGAATCATTATTCACTGGCATGAACGCCAGTTAGGGCAATGGGAGGCGAGCTATTTGATGAGAGAATGAGATTTTCTCGAGGTGCTGGAATATCCCATTTTATAGTCAAGTATTCTTGTTTTGGTCAGGAAAGCCTTCAAGATTCACATACCTACTTGGTTGATCTGTATTCCATTCATTATTTTCGGGATGGATAACTTTTTTTTGAGAAATCACGGCCAGCAATAGTTTTTTGTCTCACACATCGATAATGTTAACCTTTATTTGATTACCGAGCCAAACACAGCGGAGTATGGAGAGAAATAAATAATCGCAATTATTATTGTTGTTTTTTCTTCTTCCTTCTTTCTTCAACGTCGGCGTTTTTCTGCTACTGAAGCTTATCACCGACACCGGTGAGCACACTTTGCTTAACCTAACATTTTCTATGTCTTCTTTCTATACCTGGCCATCGAACAACAACTTTCAGACTTGTTGTTCGATAACCTGGCACTGGCGCGGTATTTGCTATAAGGGCTGACACCTGGTCCATATACAAATGGGTCACTCTGTGGTTGTATTTATATTGATACCACAATTCGAACATCCTTAAAATTGAATGTTAATGCAAGTAGAATATTCTCATCACAAGGATTATTTGTTGAATACCATAAATATGGCACGGCATTGGTGGTTCACATATTTATTTTAGTTAATTCTTTCAGTTGCAGAAAAATTGACATTGTTTGACTTTTGATCCTTATAAAACAATCCAATATATTACGCCGGCGAGAATAGAAGTCAGTTTCTCTGGTAATAAAAGAGGGTCAGAAGTCTCGTATTATTCCCTAGGGAGATAATGTGACATATTTTCTCCCTAGGGAGTTTATACCAGCATTTCATTTTCCGTATAGCTCTGCGCTCGGCTCTGCGCTTTCTTTTCGGAACAACCTTTTCTGAAGCGAGTATAAGCTGCATCACACAGAATTCTAGATCTCACTGTTTTGAAAATGTTGGCATGAAGATGTTATTTTGAGACGTAATATGCACTGACCAAAGAGGTCTTTGAAGGATATTGAAGTATTGTTTTTGTTCTTCTGTAGCATTTCTTTGTTTGCCTACTGAAAGGTGTCCCTGGGATGTTTTGGGATGTTTTAGAAATGTAGGTATGAGGATGTTTTTTTGAGGCGTAATATGCACTTCCCAAAGAGGTCTCAGAAGGATATTGAAAGTATTGTTTTTGTTCTTTTGTGCCCTTTCTTTGTTTGCCCCACCACAATATCTCATGCTTACGTCACAATACGATGAATTCTGATTTGTTTTCGATTTTGTTCTTCTTGTTCGCAATTGGCATTCGCGTTTGCAGCGTGTCACGCTTACATTGTGGAGAACATTTCAAAAATTGGGAAACCTATTTCCAATTATATGTCTGTGTGTAGTAAGCACTACTCAGAAACCGATTAAGAAGGTAATTCCATATCAAGAAAATATTTTTATGTTCAATCTATTTTCAATGCATTTTTTCATTCAAGAGAAATGGAATCCTAATGCAAAAGTTCATTTTGACGAAGGCTTCAGAAAAGTACCTCGAAAATGTTTTTTTTACAGCGATTTAATGTGCGCAAGACGCGTTGAAAATGTTTTGTTGTGTCCATGAAAAGGCATTAAAAAGAACTAGGGAGAAGGTAGTTTTGTGACATATCAAGGACATCTTGATAATTGCCGCCTGCGGCGGACATTGGCTGTTCTATAATAGTTTTATTCATGTGTGAACAGAACATCGCAGTGGAGGTTCAATGTCTCGAAATCTCGTACTTTTAACATCTCTGAGATGTTTTTGTGCACGCTGGGTAGTTTCTTGGGGTTTTCCCTCGATTTCTTGTTCCATAACCGTTAACCATTCTGAAAGCTGTTTTCATAACTTTCAGTTTGATATTTGCTGTCACCATGGGTTGTCAACAAGATGCATTTTGTCAAGATACGAATTCCACAAACTTCTACTAATTATGACAAATATAAATATGACAAATGTATATATATACACCTCGGGCTTCGCCCTCGAGCTACAAATCGCACCTTGGAAAAAATCTTGCATTTCTGTCCCTTGATATATAATGTACTATTTTGTCGAAATAATATAATGAAGATCGCAGTGTACATACTCCATTTGCATTTGTAACCTAACCTAACTTTCATTTTTGTCCCCCAGAGCCTGCCAGGTTTGCACCCCCAACGCGACCAACACCGTGTGGTCCTCCTGCCAGTGCGTTTTAGCCGATGGGGTCGAGAGGGGCATTCTCTCGGCCAACAGAATGCTGCCCGGGCCCAGCATCCAAGTGTGCGAGGGCGACAAGGTACGACCTCTTTTTTTCATCAATTGATTTTCTGAACCACCATTTTTGATTGGATGTATATGATGAATTGATGATCGAGAAAGAGTCAATAGGTCTATTCTCGTTCGAGAAATTAACAGTCCCAAACCATCAGGAGCATGCGCAGTTTAACAGAACTATTAGTATTTTTTATACAAGCGTACCTGATTCACCCTATACCCTCACGCAATTTAGTTTGGGAAGTGTCATTTTCTCGCAGTAGTGCGGGACAAGTTTTCCCACACTAGTGCAGGAAAAACATTTATGTAATATTCTCGCAAATTATGACTGGTGGGTGACACAATATGAGAATTGTAGGGTTTTCTGTTGCAGTATTTATTAGGTTTGTACAAAATCATCCATCAAATCGCACTATTTATTTGTTTCATAAATCCCCCTATAGCCTCTAATTGATCTGATGTAGAAGACAATAATTGTTGTCATGTCAATCATAACACAAATAAGTTAGTGTGATTCTCAGAGTAACAGACAGAGCGTTTCTGTCATTTTCAATTCAGTGGAATTTCGATGGAAAACTTCCAACTACAGATGCGATACAGATGAGTTATTGCCAAAGAAGTCTCAAAAAAGGCATCAGAAGCACTACACGGGATTTATTGAGTGGTGCAATAGTAAAAAAGAAGTATTATTGGCTCATTTCCTAGAAATGTCTGAAACCTAGGTGCCAAACACCATGGGCATGCTGGCTTTCGCAATAAGCTTACCTACATAAGTCTTCAAACGGTACACACGATAGATAAATCAGTAATAATTAGAAGATAGAGAATATATCACTATCTTTAGTTGTTTTTATTTGCAGGAATAATTTATTGAACAAATCAATCAATTTCCTACGCATGTAGAAAAAATATTGTTCCTAACTCATGCGGAAAGTGTCATTCCCGCACTCGACTGCTCCGCTTCGCGTCGTTCGGATCAACGGCATTCGCGTGCGGGAAAATATCACTTTCCGCACTTGTTAGGAAGATTACTATTCCATGTTCCGTGGAACTGCGCATGTTTCCGCTGGTTTCGGATTGTATATTTTTCGAACGACAACAAACCTAGTATGTCTATCAGAAAGATTATGCGAATTCGCAATATATTTCTCTGTACATTGAGTTGTCACTTTCAACAATCTTCTTCATTGTTGAAAACATTTTGATGAATTCATCAAAAAAGATTTGATACTTCTACTATTATAACTTTCGATCTTGTTGTCAATGCTATTAGTTTTTAGGTATGTAAGTGTCGTCGCTATAACCTGGCTAAATCTAAATAATCAATCGGCATTAGAAATAGAAACACTTGCATTAGTATTCGTTCATACGTATAGACGCACAGGTTTCGGGAGGATGTAATTCAATATTCTTCGTGGAATTAGCTAGGGAAGTAGTTGTTTTTATCCCGTCATCTACCATTGTAGTTCATTTTATGAACATTTGTGGAAATCACTGAGCTTTTTAATATTTATTCAACATTTCATTCCACTATGAGCATTGTGGCTATTTCGAAGTTGAAAGTACGCAAGTCGGGCAACCAGTCACTCCCGTATTGGACTTTTGCTTTTGGTGTGCTTCTTTCCTTCTTTCCTTTACAGATGGCGTTGCTCTCATATTGTCTATGGAGGACGCCACTGAGGAAATATAATGCCGACTTGATTTTTGTTTGGCTAGCCTACGCTTAGTCGGCGGTCTTAATACTGCTGGCTGGTGACTGCCCTGCACTGATGAGAGTCAAAGAGCTCGAAAGCGATCTGTAGGTGTCTAGCGTGGCCTGGCTGAATCTAAATCAATAGGCATTCAGGAAAAAATAACTTGTATCAGTATTCGTGTTTACGAGTCGATGCATAGATTTCGGGAGAATGTAATTCAATGTTCTGCGTGGCATTAACCAGGAAAGTAGTTGTTTTTTTCCCGAAATCTACAGTTGGTTTTCATTTTATGAACATTGTGTGGAAATGACTTTGAGCTTTTTGTATTTATGTTTCATCCCTTTGGTCCGAAAACTAGACAGCACATATCGATTAACAACTGACTGACTGATTGATTGTAGGTGGTGATCGACGTGGAGAACCACCTCGAGGGTATGGAGGTGACCCTCCATTGGCACGGAATCTGGCAGCGCGGAAGCCAGTACTACGACGGAGTACCGTTTGTCACGCAATGTCCTATCCAGCAAGGAAACTCATTCAGGTTAGCATGCAGGGACCCTATAAAAAAATGATCGAAGCATCATAGTGACCATTAAAATATGTTATACTTGATTTGATTCACATCACAACAAGTTGAACCATCCTTATGAGAGCAATGGAGCCAGAATGTCTATTCAGTACCGTAATGGTATGACCGACAAGGTGAACTACTTTTGGTTGAGTAGCAAAGGGTAGAGATCGGTAACGCAGAATAGTTTCTATGTTTTATATTGAACTATATTTATTATTCAATAGTCAGATTATCACTTATAATCTTCCTAGTAACAAAATTATTGCCGATAATTATTTTCAAGGTTACGAATGTTTTTGTATGTATCAACAAAAACATGAGTGATACTGAGAAAATAATTATCGGATATTAATTCTGCTGCGTGGGAGATTCAGTAAGAAAACTCCAAAAATTGGAGTTGCTTTTGATATGATTAAAACTCTACGACCCATTCTGCGTTGATGTCAAATAAAATTTGACACGAAGGTATATCTCGTTTTTATTGCTAAAATGTGAGAAACATTAAATCAATGACAGTTGTTGTCTCGAGCTTGACAGTTCTTTCATAATGGGATGTTATATTGAATGTTGAAATGATTGAAATGTAATCACTCGCTTAGAATCGTCTTTCCACGGGCACTTTTCCCAAGTTATGAAGGAAACGTGCACAATATAGGTTTATTAATTTCATACCAACTCAGCAATGTCTGGAAATAGTGGAAATCACCAGTTCTTTAATATTGGAATATATGGGCGATAATAAATTATTTGCATTCAATTACTCCACTATGTCGTTAGCAACTCAAATTGATTTCTGCAACACTTCCCACGGTTTTTTGAGTAAATAATGAGTCTATACGTTATTCGAAATTGTTAAATTCCAGAGCTCATTTCAAACAAACCTAAACCTCCATGGCCGCCATTTGGCGATACGTCGAATAAATGGTGAAACCGGTCTTAATGCTGTTTCGTTATTGGTCAGATAATTTTCCATTTTCACTCATGAAGCAAGGTTGTCAAGTCACAAATTATGATCAAGTTATCAAAAAGATGTTAGAGTTCTGTCGTTGAATAAAACATAATAGGAGGAACCCATGATATTATAGTTTATTATGGCAACTGTGCTATGCTCTGCCCCCACTTACGAAATTGTGGCGTCAGTTTTTACTGGAGGTAAATTCCTAGCCGTTTGAAAATTACCGTGGCATTATTGATGATTTTAGCACCTAAAATTCGCACAAAAACTTTTAGAGGTTCTTAAGCTTTGCAGTTGTATAGGCGAACAAATTTCTGTCGCCGACTACTCTACGGTGTTCTGATGAAGTCGAACTATTAGTTATTTAGTTAGTGTAGCATCACCCACCAGGCGGATGGCTCTTCTCTGGATGAAATCTAAGAGCATCAGCGTATGTTCGTGTGCTGAGCCCCATATGTGAGAACAGTATTTAAAACTGACCGGATCTGTGCTTTGTAGATCATGAGACGCTGTTGAAGTGTAGGGTAGATTTTCTCACGGAATAAAAATCCGAGTTTTTGTGAAGCAGCTTTCTCGATGGATCGGACATGATTTTCCCATGAAAGAGTATTGCCCGATGGAAATACCGAGCATCGATATAGTGGTCTTGGTGGGTATGGTGGTGCTAGACATTGTTATATCAGGCATACTGAGTTCCGCTCCCGAGAGAAAATACTGGCTTGCGTTGTGGTGGCATTGAATTCAACTAGGTTGTTGGTTCGTCAGGCAGTAATTTCAACAAGATCGTCATTGACAGCGTAAGTTCTTAGTTTCCTAAAAGAAATGGAAATTCTAGAGGAGAACGCAGTACGGAGAGTATACTATCGTCTGCAGAGCTGTGGATAGGGTACGTATGGTTGCTCCCAACAGATCATTGATATGAAATAGGGGTAATGTTGGGGCCAAAATTGATCCTTGTGGTATGCCGGAATAGATGGCGATGGTATCAGACGATACTCCGTCCACCACCACATGGAGTGATCTGCCTGAAAGAAAACTGGATGAAAGACGGCATAGCTGAGATGGTGAGCCGTATGATGACAGTTTGTGGTGCAGTCCTTGGTGCCAAACACGGTCGAATGCCCTTCGATATATCCAACGCCACAGCTAAAGATTCCCCATGTTCCTGTAATGTAGCTTTTGCTGTATATGTGTGACGTAGGCAAGTAAATCTCCAGAGTTGATCTTTGGTGGCAAAAGCGTTACATTGTCATACATCATTAACGATTCCCGAGCTTCCCAGATATTAGATGAGCTCAATGTTGATGGCTTTCTCCATTACTGTGGAGATGACTGATAACAGGAATAGTTGTTGGGCAGACTTCTGTTTTCTTTTTTGAGGATTGGTTGGACTCTAGCTATCTTCCAGCAATATGGAAAAATCCCCGACTTGTACGAGATGATAAATAACTAGCAGAGGATCGGTGTACTCTTTTTGAAAACAATTCCATTAGGACTGTTAGCCTTATTTGTTTTGAGATCGGGCAGAATGCATCTGATAGTGCGTTGATAAAAGACAATTTCGAGCATTCGACTTTCAACGGGTGGAATGCCTTTCGGTACTCTTCATTGGAAATCTAAGGTCGAGTTTAATGCGAACATCTCTGTAAAAATGTATGGTTGTTGCTAAAATGTTCCAGAATGTCTTATGAAGAGTGTTGGATATTGGTCCAGAATAGGTCAGAACGTTCTGGATTATCTTAGATTGTTAGCAGAGAATGTGGCAAATATTGGAAAAGCTTCCCGGATTTTCTATGATCCTCAAGAGTGTTATAGAATGGTTCAGAATGTTGAAGGATAATCCAGGAGCATCAATAACATTCCAGAATGTTCATGACTGTTGAAAAATATTCCATAATGCTCGAGACTGGTTCTCACTACTTATCAAAACTTAAACTTCTTCAATCCTCCCTAACTTTCACAGATACCAATGGATAGCCGGCAATGCCGGAACTCACTTCTGGCACGCGCACACCGGACTGCAGAAGATGGACGGCTTATACGGCAGCATCGTGATCCGGCAGCCGCCTTCTAAAGATCCCAACAGTCACCTCTACGACTACGATTTGACCACGCACGTGATGTTGTTGAGTGATTGGCTGCACGAGGACGCGGCCGAGAGGTTCCCCGGAAGATTGGCTGTGAGTACCTTCATTTACACCAGGTGACAGGTGACATGGTACAACATTACCACAGCATAAGGATTAAACAGCAATACATACGTACGAGATAGAGGAAAGTTTTCTCCTCTTCCATATTTCTCTTCAATGATACCAACGTAGCCGCATTGAAATATAGAGAGGTCCGATAAATCTGTCCTTGTTTAACATCTAGTTTGTGCCTCATTATCGAAAAGCATTTAAGAATCGAATATTATTCCTAAATCCTTAATTGCTGTAACAATTTTTGAAGAACGAGAAGATATTTGAAGTGAGTGATTCAAAATGTTTTCCCGCGTTCGAACGAAATGTTGTAACACTTCTCAAAGTTAATGTATAGACTATCTAGCTAACAGTAATCATGAAAACTATTGATGTCCTGCTGCATCATCAGTTTGATGTCGTCAGCATCGGAAATTGAGTGGCATATTTTTATCATCGAATCGAAAACATTGAGATATATCATTGATATAAATATTGAATAATAGTGGCCCCAGATGAGATCCTTGAGGCACATGTTGTGTGGATACTTCGCCAATTTCAAAATTCGAAGATAAAATACTCTCTCCATGCCTACTTCAGATTAGATCTATTATTCGCATAAAGAAAGAGTCAAAATTGAACATACTTCTTAGGCGAATACATATCATTCATCACCGTTCAATAATTATTAGCGAAAAACCCGATATTCCTGGTAAAGTAACCACGTTTCACGGTATTCAATACTCATAATAGGTAATAATAGTAGTTCTACGAGTATTGAAATGACTTCTGTATTTCGAACGAGCAAAAAGTTTTTACGGCGGACTCATAACTGTAGATTGCCTATAGATATACATTATACAGGGTTTTCAATGCTCGTTTCAGGTAAACACAGGCCAACACCCTGAGAACTTGTTGATCAACGGCAAAGGGCAATTCAGAGACCCCAACACAGGCTTCATGACCAACACGCCCTTGGAGGTATTCACCATCACGCCCGGCAAAAGATACAGATTCAGGATGATCAACTCGTTGGCCTCGGTATGCCCTGCCCAGCTGACCGTGCAAGGGCACGATCTGACACTCATAGCGGCCGATGGGGAGCCAGTACATCCTGTCAAGGTCAACACCATCATCTCGTTTTCTGGTAAGTCGAATCGGATTCGTAGAAATTACAAAAACACATATTATGTGACATGACATCTGTTAGATGTCGCGTTTAGTTAACAGTGCGATATCACAAATGTTCCATCGCTGCGATGTTCATGAGCAAACACATCTGCGACATGATATCTCTAAGGTGTCGCGATGAGGCAACACTGCGATATTACGAAAGTTCCATCGCTGCGATCTACAGAAGCAAACACATCTACGACATATATAACATCTCTGAGATGTCGCGATGAGGCAACAATGCGATATCACGCATGATGCATAGCTGCGATGTACAGAAGCAAACTCATATGCAAGAATTTTTCAAAAATATGTTACTTCTGTATCTCGAAAACGAAGCAAATTAGGACACACGTTCATACGATCTTTATTTCTTAAAATATCACATTGAATCGCCCCTTGGATTTTTTCGGTGTTATTCAGATACACCCTGTATAATTTGCTTGTGCATCTCAGTGACTTGCCATATTCGATTTTCTGAGTAGGTACCTACCTACATATCTATTTTTAGGTTCTGAATGTTTTGAATACCGATAGATTTCAGGTAGTTTTCGTTATGTTCAATGTGGTTGAATTTTTTTATAAATTTCGATTAATTTGAAGGTGAACTATAGCTAATTCGGTACCGCGTGAACGAGCTCTGGTATATTTGAGAAATAATGAAATTTAAAGCATCATTATGAAGATTTAATGTTTCATGTTGCGTGAATCCATTCAAGTCACATTCTGTTCTTATTCATTTCCCAACAGGAAATTCCATATTGGTTATGAATAAAAAGTCACAATAGTGTTTCTCAAGAGTTGCACAATAAATTATAATAGCAGGAAACAACGATTTATTTTCAGTTGAATATGTTATAATTTATTACCTATTAGAGCAAATTTGCCTTCTGATATATCATTCGAAATAATTGTTGAGTACTTCTGCAAGAATGTGAAATCGAAAGATCTCGAAAATAATGCTTTCTACCAATAATTATTCTAATTTTACGGGAATTTCAATATTCGTTTAAATTGTTACCAATTATTCATAGAATTGCGAAAATGATCTCACATTCATACCTATATATCATTGATTTCTGATATACCGTCATGTTTCGATTCAAGGCAGTAGGACATTTTCTTCATATTCCTACAATCAGGGGGGGCATTAATAGCTGCTTGAATTTTACTGACAAACACCAAGTACTCACATTGTAAAATCCGGGATTTGCAAATTCAGTTACGTATAAACCTATGTAGGTAAACCTAGGAGACCCGTTGATAATAGGTTCAAAGAACATCGTGATCAGGGCCATAAATGTCACGCCCTCTAGTCCACTCATTTTTGAACCAATTTCGAAATTTTGGTAATCATCTGAAATGCTTTTTCATAAAAATGTTTCCGCTACATCAGAAAATACAAGGTGATCGGAATAAACGATCTACAGGGTACTAGTTGATTTTTTCAAATAAGATTGATTGATTTCATAAATGTATCACACTTGAGGTCTAGCGGAAATGATTACAGAGATATAGGGTGGATTTCTCAAACTTTAGGATTATTTTGTGTCTAAACTATTCATTATTTATCAGAACGACTCACATGTCCCCATATTAACTTTTGATTTACTACCTACTGGCATTTATCAACACAGGGTGATTCAAGATTCAGAATTCTGATTATCTTGTGTCTGCTCCAAATCGTTTTGACCAATAATGAATAGTTTCTACACAAAAAAGATCCTAAAGTTGAGAAATCTCGATTTTGAACACCCGCCTATATATCTCTGTAATAATTCCCGCTAGACCCCTAGTGTGATGTATTGATGAAATCAGCTCTAAAAATGTGATGAAATACAGGGTGTTTCGTTTACTATGTTGACATCTTCAGGAGAAAATTGAAACTGTTTAAATCTTCTCCTGAAGATACTAACTATGTTAGCAAACGAAAAACACACGAAACACGTGTCGAGGTGTAAAAAATCGGTTTCATTAGTGCTAAAACAGTGTCTAGTGCAGGGATGGGGAAATGGCGGCCCGCGATCAGAACGAGCCGTCGAATACAATATTGCCCTGTGAGAAATGAAATAATTGAATTCTTGCGACAACAATCGAAGATGGACAACTTGGAAATAATTGAAGACTCACAATGGATTTCGGACTTCGCATTCTTCACAGATTTACTTGAATACTTAAACAAAGTGAATAAAAGCATTCAAGGCAAGAATCTGTTGCTTGACCAAGCCTGGACCCAAATAAAGGCGTTCAAGTTGTAGTTTCGTTTGTCTTCAACGCAAATTACACAAAAAAATCTCGCCCATTTTTCCAGGTTAGAGACCGTTGGTGAATAGACTAATGATGAAGTTAATTTTTATGTAAGTCAACTCAATCGCTTGTAAAACGAGTTCCTAAGAAAATTCGGAGACTTCAAGAATATAGAAAATGACTTGAAAATATTCTCATCCATTTGCCGTTGATTGTGAGCACATTGCAGCTGTATGAGTTCCAACTCGAAATAATCGAACTACAACGTGATGCAACTCTGAAACAGCTATTCAACACCTCATGAAAGTTTGATTTTTATAAAAGTTTACCAAAATCCCAAATCTAATAAAACAGGCTTAGAGAATCATGTCCATGTTTTTTACATATGTGAGCAGGTATTTTCTACAATGAAGCTGCGTAAAAATGTTCCCCGAAATAAGATGACTAACGAACATCTTGAATGTGTTTTGCGGATCAGTTCGAGTGAAATAGAGCCAAATTTCGATGAAATGATTATTAAACAATCAATATTTCATTTGTCACACCAACTTTCGACTTCCAAACAATAGTTGAATAATTGTTAATTGTAATAAAATATTTTCAGCCCGCCAAAGCGGTGTGTTATTTCATACGGCCCCACTCTCAATCTATTTCACCATCCCTGGAGTGTAATAATAATTTTGTGTAACGCATAGATTGACATGCCTTTTATATTGCATTTCCTAAAATTATTATTCACGTCTGACTCCTCTCTCTATCGGTTGTAGGGGAACGATACGATTTCGTGATCAACGCGAATCAGCAACAAGGAGCCTACTGGATGCAACTCAGAGGATTGGGCGAATGCGGTGTGAATAGGGTACAACAGTTGGCTATCCTGAGGTACGCAAGAGGTCCATACCAACCGACATCAGCGCCGCCTAGCTACGACTTCGGTATTCCGCAGGGAGTGGTGAGTAGTCCGTTTCGAGATCGATGTATAGTCAAACGCCTGTGGGATAATGAAATGATGGTCAATTGAACATTACAACTGGAAAGTTGCTTCAGGTTTTGCACATAAAATTAGAAAGTTATTTAAATCATTGTTACTTAAAAATAACGCATAATCATGAAAATCAAAAAAAATCTTATAGGTAATTTCGAAATTTTTGGAAAAAATCTGTCAGATACTTTTTCAGTAAAGTATGTTCTGATATTCTCATTATATCAAAATGCTATGATTTGCTTCAAACAGGGTGATTCATGGGGAGTGCCAAATAGTGAATTGAGAAAATCAAAACGAGTTGATGAATGCATGTGAAAAGTTTTTGCGCAATCCATAAAGAAAATACAGGATTACATGTGGAAATGTCATAACTTGCATAACCAATATTTCAAAAATGATTATTTGTAAATCGCTGAAATTTATTAGCGATAATGTACAGTCGTCTTCAGAGAACATGTCGCACATGGACGGTGTCAGCTCTCTTAATCACCGCTGCAATAAGAACGCGCATACCGTCCAACTGCGACATGTTCACTGAAGACGAGTGTACCTCTATTGGAATTTTCCAAGATGACATAGTATAAAGAAAAATCCAAAGACGAACTGGAGAAATTAATGTAACATTGTCAAAGTTAGTTTTGGTATCACTTTTCACAAATATTATGTCAAGATTCAGTAAGATCAGTAAGAACGCCATAGAAACGGCTCCTCAATTCGAAAGGCACAATTCCATTCAATATCATCAATTGATTGATGACTGATGGAAATGAGGTGGTGAGATTTCGTATTTTTTACTGTTCGAACCAAACAGATTATACAGTTTCATAAAATGAATAGAAAACAAGAAAGTCCAATTGACCATCAGATCATAAGCAAATGTAAATACCATACAGAATTATAGATTAGTGTGTTTTCTAGTGAGTTAAATGCGTTTTAGTGTATATATGAAGAGGCGACACTGTAAGAATCAGCTTATAGTTTCTTCTGCGGTACTGAAGATGATGTATTCTAAAATAATGTGACGTCACATTATAATTTCAATGAATTCGAGATCAGAGAATTTCAACTCGAATTCCGAAGCTTTTTCTGTAAAAAGAAAAATAGAAAACAGAAGGTGGTTGTTCGTGTATAAATATACCTAGTTGCTATATAATAGTTGCTGATATAGTAGGCCTATCTCCCCCATCATACGTGCTAAACCACCTGAATATCACTATACAAATGTTAAATGTTTTTATTGTTTTTCGTCATCATCAGTTAATTTTATATGAATCAGTGGAATGAAAAAGAAACATCATTTTTGATTATGCTGCTATTTTTTGTTCTCAAAGGATAGGGGAGACCAGGACATAGTGAAACAGAATCTGTATAGGCCGATATAGTTTAGTATTTGTATAGTATACCTACTTGTAAAGAAATCAAAGTTTAGTCCATTCCCAGGCAAATTATCGAGTTGCTGTACAGTGTACATAGATGCTTTAACAAGAATGTCAACAGGTTCTTAACCCCTTGGATGCAAGGTGTAACGAGGTTAGGGCTGATGCTATTTGCGTGAGTCAATTGAAAAATGCCAAAGAAATCGACAAAGGAATTTTGCAACCCAGGCCTGACGTGAAGATCTTCTTGCCATTCAGATTCCACGTTTACACGCCTGAGGATCTCTTTGCCCCCAACACCTACAACAGACATCTGGGTAAGTCAAGGACTCGGAGTAACTAGTTGAAAAAATTGATTGATTTTGCTCATTTCTTCTGTGGAAAAGACATCACATTCTAAGGACCTCTGTGGAACCTCTGCCAAATCGATAATTCGAGTGGATTTATCGGATAATAAAGCTACTCAAACCGGGTGACACAGGAGACATGTAAAAGCCTGTAGTTTTTTTAGTTGAAGAGATACAAATTTGAAATTCACTAGGGTTATATTATCGATGATGACGCTTCCTTTGAACCCAATGACAATTTATTTCAACCACCTGTTTGATTGTAAATAGACTCAACTTTTTTTTTTCTAATGGCATCCCGTTTATTTCTGTAGTTTATCTTATTCGCCTTGAAATTCTCTATTCAAATATGTATCAGAATTTGATATTCGTTCATTAATTGGCTGTTAAATTGCATTTTTATTGAAATGCATGATAGGCTTGGAAATTCAAAGATCATCGCCAATAATTTCTTTGAGTTGAAAAAAATCATCCGAAAATAACTCACGATATTAGAACGATACATCAATAACTAAAACAAATTCAGTTTCATGTATCCAAATGGATGATATATATGATATATTATGGCTACATGGCAAAAATTAAAGACAAATAGTTTCTTCACAAGTAGCCAAATAAAAAAAACTGAGTTTCTATCTTGGTTTTCTCAATATCGTGAGTTATTTTCGGATGATTTTTTTAAACTCAATGAAATTATTGGCAATCTTCTGGGACCGATTAGTGTATGGAAAATATTTTGTCTACAAACGCTTAACGAAGTAGCCTTTGATGCTTTCAAATTCCAGCACAAAGTTGACGTATTCCCAGAAATGTCATTCTTTGACAGCATTCGCGCTCGTGAGCGGAAATATTGAAAAAACGCTCGCACATCTCTGTAACCTATACTTATCTATTCTTGAAAACCCCCATTTCTGTCATGATGGAAAATAGTGACAGTGAATCATCAAACACACCTCCTTCCTGATGATATAGCAGAAAGCGCAAGAGTTTGAATCTCTTACCGGAGAAATCAAGGAAGAAATTTGAATTACAATATGATACATTCATAAATTGGTGCCACTCCGAGATGGTGAATATGTATTCAGAAAACGTTTTACTGGCTTATTTTGGTAAAAAATCGAAGACTTTGAAGTCATCAACTCATGGCATCTCTCAAGAAACAATCTATTGGATATAAAGCGAGAAAAATCCAGACCATTCACCGCTGAAGATATATACCAACAAATTTCTACAAGAAGCTCCCGATGAAGCATATGTGTTGAAAACGATGAATTATACTTTATATTTAAACTCTTTGTTGTCATCAGAAAGACAGTGTATCTTTATTTTATTGCATCAATGAGTAATGTTCAATTTGATTACAGAGTTTATCGTACATGGCTCAGAGGTCTAAAGCTCAGGTTGCCACGCTGGTGGTCCAGTTTCAATTCTCGGTAGGCCGGAAATTTCTTTTCTGGCTTGTCAGTTATTTCAATTTTTCTCTAAGTAATGATGTTTGGATTTCTAAACCTATCAAGCATCGAAATGTCATCGCATTCGAGCCACAGCCAACTTCATGTATTTCAATGAAATGCAATTTAACAGCCAATTAATAAATGAATATCAAATTTTGCTACATAGTTGAATAGACAATTTCAAGGCAAATAAGATAGGCTAAATAAATATATTTATATTTATTTCTTCAATTAAAAATACTACAGGCTGTTACCTGTCTCCTGTGTCACCCGGTATATCAAGGGAGCAAAGGTATCCATTTCCTTCCTCGTTTGAAGTTTGATCGTAGTGAGAAATATTATTAGTCGTTTTTGTTGTTATTAATGGTTTTCTGGCTTTTGTGTGATCAGTTTTCGGTGTTTCAGTAACTTACATTCAATATCATAAATCTTTTTTTTTTTAATAAATATGGTACGGCAGTGTCAAATCTGTACATTTAGTCACAAATATCCTAACCTCATATTACATATAGTATAAACAGCTAAATTGGACTAACACTCAGGAAATCCCGAAAACGTAAATGAACAAGTATATAGAATAGCAAAAATAGGTATTACAGTTCAACACCGACTGACTGCGCTGAGCATACTGACTCGCCTCTTATCATCCCAAATTCCATCCCAGCTCATTCGCTCCAGCCGTTATTCCTTATACATAACCCATAGTGAATCAACACCCAACGAACATGAAATACAGGGTCGTTCCTTCGGATCGCTTATAATAGCTATGTAGGAATTTGGTACAGTGACGGTTTTGTTTGATTGAACGCGTTTGTAAAATATTCAAATTATCAAATAACCTCACTATAAGACGTTACAAAATGACTAATTATCATGTTACAACACGATGTGACAGATATTTATTAATGAACATACCCACATTTATAAAAATCCCGATTCATAAGAAGTATAAAATAGATCTAGTCGTCAATTCTCTGGCAATGATTCCTCCGCAGAGTTATCCCCACCATTCGTGATTACATTCATTTATCCGTGTTTCGCGTTTGAGATTGTTGATGTATACCTACTTTTTAGTAATTTATGAATGAAGCGCCGTGTCTATCTATTGTTATTTAGCCTGAAGTAAACCACCACTTAACATTCAAACATGTTGAAAGGTTACAACTATAAGGTGTCCACAGATCTAGAAATACTTGTTATAGTAATCCTAATGTCAGTTTCCTGTTGCTCCCAACGAAGACCACGCGTTTTCGAAATATTAAAAATATCAAATCACCTCACTAAGAAGTTACAAAATGACTAATTATCATGTTACGACATGACGTGACAGTTATGTCTTAGTGCACATACAAGCATTTATAAAAATTCCGATTCATTAACAGTATGAATTAGATCTAGTATTTAATTCTCTGGCAATAATTCCTCCGCAGAGTTCGTGATTCCATTCATTTATCCGTATTTCGCGTTTAGGATTGTTGGTGTATACCTACTTTTTAGTGATTTATAAATGAAGCGCCGTGTCTATCTATTGTAATTTAGCATGGAGTCAAGCACCACTTAACATTCAAACATTTTGAAACGTCACAACTAAGGTGTCCACAGATCTCGAAATACTTGATATAAAATGATCCTAATGTTATTTTCCTGTTGCTCCCAACGGAGATCACGCGTTTTTAAAGAATTTAAAATATCAAATCACCACACTAAGACGTTACAAAATGACTAATTATCATGTTACAACATGACGTGACAGTTATGTATTTGTGCACATACACACATTTATAAAAATTCCGATTCATAAGAAGTATCAATTAGATCTATTATTTGATTCTTCGGCAATAATTCCTTCGCAGAGTTATCCCCACCATTCGTGATTCCATTCATTCATCCGTATTTCGCGTTTGGGATTGTTGGTGTATCCGTCACAACCAAGTGTCCACAGTTCTCGAAACACTTGTTATAATAATCCTACTAATGATATTTTTTCAGTTGCTCCCAATGGAGACCACGTGATCAGTTTGATAGATGAAATTTCGTACATGGCAGCACCTGCCCCACTGATATCCCAATACGATGACATTAGTCCGGATCAGTTCTGTAATGGGGACAACAGGCCTCCAAACTGTGGACAGAATTGCATGTGCACGCACAAAGTCGATATACCATTGAACGCCATCGTTGAAGTAGTACTAGTAGATGAAGGTAAGTCGAAAATTCTTCTGGCTTTCCTAATTTCTCAAAGTGCGTGATATGTCTTGGATTTCTCATTTTCGAATGAAAATACTTGCAAACAAAATATCTGCCCAGCAAACATGACAAAGCCATTGATTTAATCGATGGCATACTGGTGGCACTATATTTCGGTGATCATAATAAAGTACATGTCCATTTCAGTTGCAATCATATAATACGTAGGTATGTTGCACTATTATTGTGCTGGTACAATAGTATATTTTCCCTAGTCTGTGGTGAGTTTCAACTTTGGTATTCAATAATAATAATAATAAACATCTTTATTACTTCTGAATGGCAAATAATATAAAAACTATGGGTGGATAATGATTTTCAGAAGCAAAGGGCGAAGTTCAATTCATTTTCTAGATGACTCTGTGTCCACTGAGTTGTTCGTTCTAGCACTTAATCCTCAAATATCTCTACAATTCAACATGTAGGAACAACTAAGGAAGAAATTAGAAAAAGTGAAAAAATAGTGTCATATGGATGATAACATGATAATTACTGATAAACAAATGGGAACAAAATAGGGAATGTGTTATTGATTTGAATTAAACAGATGTGAAAATGTATTCGTTTCGAATTTATGAAACACTGCTGATTTTAATTGATGTGGAATATTATTGTAAATATGGCATATCTGATAACTGAAGCATCTTCGGAAAAGTTCTGTTTTGAAAGGGGGAGGAGACAGTATTCCACTAAACCTAATATTCACATTGTGAACGTCCGTAAGGAAAACAATGGATGAATTTTATGGATAGGAAGGTTTTTTATTGATGATAATTCTATGAAAGAGGTTAGCGGTCTGATGTAGTCTCCTGTTTTCCATAGTCAGCCAACCAGCATCTTTCATCTTATGAGAAATTCTTTGGCCTCTTGTTATTCCATATATCAGTCTCAAGAATTAATTTTGGAGCTTCTGTATCTTATTTTTGTAAAGTTTTGTTAAATGTGGCCCATAGACACAATTGGCGTGATTAAAAATGTGATAAACCGAGAGTTTCACACATAATAACTTTCAATTTAATAGGAAGAACATGATGCCTACCACCATAAATAGATTTCAGCGAAGATTATGCACGGCGCAAAAGATTATCAACACATTCTAGTACTTCAGATCGTTTGGTTTTGGGTCCAAACAGTAACACATTAGACTTACGAGAGTTCAAAAGTAAACAATGGTCTGTGGCAGTATTAACAAACTCATTCGGAATTTAATTAATTATTTCACAGGAACCTTCTAAACTTTGAGGAGGAAAGCTGTCATGAACTTCGGTGTCTTCTGCGTAAATGTGCACTGGTACTCCCCGCTGAACAGGAAGTAAAGATGAGAGCACCTCACCTCTTTGAGTTCTATTATTGGGGTTATTTCTAATCAATGTTATAGCTGCAGCTGACAAGCCAATGTAATGTAATATGGATACCAACAACTTATGATTTATAGTATCAAAGGCTCTGCTGAAGTCGAGTAGTACCAGAGCGGTACAATTTCCGTCATCTGTTGCTCTGACAATATCATCTACAACATGAAGCAGTGCTGTTGCACAACTGAACCCTTTTCTGAATCCAGATTGAACAGAGGGTAGAACATTATATTTCTCAGCATATTCCAAAAGTTGAAACTCGATAAGTATACTTATAGGGCGCAGATCCTTATACTCAGTCGGGTATGATTTGTTAGGCAATACTTTTACAAGAGCACTACCCCATGATTCTGGAAATACACTTTTTCTTAGACTGAAATTTGTTATATAAGTGATGTATTCTATAATGAATGGGCAACATAGTTTTATCAGAGGAATATTAAAATCATCATTCCCGGTTGCATTCAAGAATCGAAAAATACTGACTCTACACGCACAATCTTTAGAATGGTGATCATCTGTCTCAATCTCAATTCATTCAATTCTTTTTAATGTCCTGTGACTCACGAGGCTCAAGAGTCGAGAGAGAAACACAAAGCCACAGTCTGATGGCGAGTTGTGTCTTTCGTGGATTGTATGCCTTGAGGTTTTCGATTGAAAATTGTCACAATACCTAGGTACTCAAAAGCTCCCTGATTAATTCACTTAGCTACTAAAAGCTTGTGACACACGTAGCTACTCAAAACTGATAAGTCTTTACCCACGACTGGTGTGAAAAATGGCTAGGTATCGTTTTGCTTGAGGAAACAGTCGTAGACAAATAATTAATATACTAACAGGTATCTTTACCTTCGTCAATAATAGCCCTCATTATATGCTTGTTGAATAATATACTAATATACGTGTTGGAAAATAGTTATTCACAAGTGTTGCCATATGTGATTCGAGCCACAACCAATCACTGACCCCTCATGATTTTTATTTTCAGTTCAACAGCCGAACTTGAGTCACCCCTTCCACCTTCACGGGTACTCCTTCAACGTCATAGGTATCGGCAGATCGCCCGATAGGAATGTGAAGAAGATCAACCTGAAACACGCCCTAGACCTCGACAGGCAAGGTCTGCTCCACAGGCAGTTCAACCTGCCCCCTGGCAAAGACACGATAGCAGTGCCCAACAATGGCTACGTGGTGCTTAGGTAAGAATTCAATAGAATCTCCACACTACACATTGTGTTACCACTAACCAATCCGATTTTTTACACCTCGACACGTGTTTCTACGACACATTATCCGCGGACATAATATCCGCCACATTAAATCCGCGACATTATATCCGCATGCCAATATATCCGCGACACTATATCCGCGACATTATATCCGTGACACTATACAATACATAATAATATATACAGCGTTGCTTTCTAAATCGCCACATTTCCTAGCACGCTTCCTTAAATTTGCCTTGAATTTGGCAGCCTCGACAAAAGAAATATCGGCAGAATGATGATGGTTAGGAACGTCACCAACAATTGATCCTAATTAAATAAAAAAAAAACACAAAATTAACCTAACCTGCAAAGTTACAACAAACAGAAAAACGAGAACCTTAAGTTTTCGAACCATTCCCAAACCATTGTCAGATTGGTTACGTGATACATTATGGACGCATGCGCATTCGCTCATTGAAAAACTTATTATTATTAAGGAGACCCTCCTCCGGGGCTCGGAAGGAAGAAAAAACATTCTTGAAAGCCTAAATCACTACATAAATGATCACAGTGGGCTGACGCCATGCTATTAGTGGACCAGAATTAAACTCCCTGACCAAACTCAGCCTCCACAATTTTATTGCAAAAATAATCTTCAAAAAACACGAATCACAACATATCACGTGATGGAAATGGTTCGAAAGATATAGGCACTTCTAAAACACAATTAGGTACCTGTTTTCTTATTAGAATAACGGGATGCTTGGAATACTGTTTACACCGCCACGTGATGGTGCCAGAAGCATTTTCACTTTTTTTAGTATAAACATATCCATCATGAATCAACATTGGATTACCATACTGCGACTGTACGAATTTCAAAGGCATTGTTATCAAAAATCGAACCCTCGAACGCTCTCGCACGTGTAAATGACAAAATAAAAATAACGATATGCTCGGTACGACAGACAATAAGAAACAATTCCCAACGTAAATTGAAACGATGGGCTACTATGAAAGCATGTACGGATTCAATGTCGCGGATATAACGCCACGGATATATTGTCGCGAGGATATAATGTCGCGGATATAGCGTCACGGATATAATGACCGTGGATGTAATGACGTGTTACCGTTTCGCTCTTAGCATCTCCAGGAGAAGATTAAAACTGAATGCTCTATCCAGAATGGTTGCAAGTCAAACAGCATACAGGGTAGGTCAAAAAATTTTAAAATTGCTCACGAGAAAAGAACATATATCTCGGAAAATTCAGTCAAATGTTATTGAGAAAAGTTGTTAACAATTGAAAGTTATGCCTAAATACCAAAGCATGGCCTCCCAAACACTTTTTTAATTTTTCAATTCTTTTCGTTAGTAATTTCCCAGTTTTTTTCATATTCACCTGAACACTTTCATAAGTTTAATCATAACAACATCAGTTGAGAATACATTTGTTCAAATTCAAGAATATTTGTGCAATCAACTAGGATTTTAACTTTTTTAAGGAATCACAAACTTTATGTTTGTTGCAACGATATTCAGCTTAACTTTAAAATTTGGAAACCATATTTTTAACTAGGTAAAACATCATTATATGAGGAGTTGATGTCACCAAACTGTCAATGTTTACTGTCAACTCTCATTTGTGTTGTTCCTTGGTGTTCGTGATTATTTCAAATGATGTCATGGTTGCCGATTGATTTGTACAGCTTTTTCATAAACATTTCAAATACAAAATGTTTACATTGAATGGAAGAATTATCATAAATGATGTTTTACCATGTTGAAAAAATGGTTTGCGAAATTTTAAAGTTAAGCAAAATATCGTTGCAATAAACATAAAGTTTGTGATAGGTACCTTAAAAAATTAAAATCCAAGTTAATTGCACAAATATGCTCGAATTTGAAGAAAGGTATGATCAACTGATTTTATGATTAACTAATGGAAGTGTTTAGGGTGAAGATAAATAAAATTACAAATTGGGATATTATTAACGAAAAAAATTTTTAAACTCAAATATTTTAGGAGGCTATGTTTTGATATTTTGGCATAAATTTCAATTGCAAACAACTTTTCTCATTAACATTTTGCTGAATTTTCTGGAATGAGGGTACAATTTTAATATTTTTTGACCTACCCTGTATGCTGTTTGACTTGCAACAATTTCAAGTGCATGACGTTATATACCCTAGATTTTTTTAATAATATAGTCCTTCATAGGCCATTTCTAAGACGCCATTCTGACGTCTTAATATGACGTCATATGGCTGTGACATTTCGACGTATTTTCGAGGACTTCAAGGCGTCATTTTTTGACGTCAATTGGTCTGTTTTGTGACCAAATTAGGACCTTCTTAGGACGTCACTGTGCTTCCTGGGAATACAAGGTATTCTTGATGGAATTATTAGAAAAATAGTAGTCGGCTATTTGTCATGGTCTCCGAATTTTACCTACGAATATTCTTCATGACACATTAGAAAACGCAATGTTGTACAGGGTTTCCACAAATGATAGTAACATTCGTAACACCGTAGTGGCTGTTGACATTTTTTTCCATTTGCCGCTTTCTACTAATGCTGTTAACAACATTTAACGACCAAAAAGAGAGGAAGTGATCATATACAGGATCTTTTTTATATCGTTTTGGAAATGTATCTCAAAGAAAGGAGATTCCAATATTGGAGTTTGGAAAATAATGGAACAAATCAAAAATATTTATTAATAATAAGTAATAAATAACGGTTTATTTCATTAACCTACATCAAAAATGTAGAAAATGTTCCTCAGCATTTCCGGGCCAATACTTTGGCAGCAATGTGTTATTGAGGCTTGCAGTTCTTCACAGTTATTATTGTCTCTCTTGAATACTTCGTCTTTCAAATATCCAGAAATGCAGAAATCCAAATGCGTCAAATCTGGTGTACGTGTTGGAAAAGAAGGATTAACTTCTCGACTTATCACACGGTTGTCATAAAATTCTTGTAAATATTCTAAATTTGCACGTGTGGTGTGGGCAGTGGCCACATCTTGCTGAAAATAGCCAATTCGAATTTCTTCATCATCAAGTTGATTGATGAATGGTTCTAACATCACTTGTCAGTACTTTCACCATTGATAGTGCCATCGAAGAAAATCAGTCCATATATTCGCCTACGAGAAACTGCTAACCACACTCCAATTTTTTGAGAATGTAGTGGAGTCTCAATGAAATTGTGGGGATTCTCAGATCTCCAAAACCTAAGATTTTGTGAGTTCACGTATCCCGACAAATGAAACCAAGCCTCATTGCTGAAAAATGTTAGGTCCAATAGCTGGTCATCGTTGAGATTATTTTGGAACCATTGGCAGTACTCCAGACGACCTGAGATATCTATTGGCAGAAGTTGCTGTAGTACATTGGTCTTGTAAGGGTGCATATGCAATATTTTCTTTGAGCTAGGTGTACTTAGTGGCACACCAGATTGTAAAGGCAATCTCTTCAATGACTTTTGGGGATTTTGCTGGGAACACACAAATCACCAGAATGTAAAATCGCAGATCCGTAATCCATCAGAATATACATTTTCAAACCAGTAACTTAACAGAACAATATTTTATAGGAATCGTATTTATCTCTACTGTAGATGCACAGAACCGCAATCCCTCAAACCGTATTTTGTATACTGTACATGAGCATACCAGACAATAACAGATTGCAAATGCGCAGATGTGTATTTTTCTATAATAGCAATATCGCAGATCCGCAAATATACAGAATCGAAAACTAACAAACCAACATCACAGCGGAATGATATTTCGTCAGAATCATAACAACACAGACCGTAATTCGTCAGAATCGCAGAATGACAGACCACACATTAGCAGACCGTACTTTATCAGAATCGAAATACAACAGACCGTTTATCGACAGAATAGTAAAATGTCAGAACCGTACATTGACAGAATAGCAAAAAATCAGAACAGCATATTCACAGAATCTCAAAATATCAGAACTGTAAATTGAAAGAATCGTAAAATGCTAAAACCGTACATCGACAGACTCGTAATACAACAGACCGTATTCCATCAGAATCATATTATATCAGAACGTACAATGACAGAATGTACTTCATCAGACTGTAATGTCATATACTGTATTGTGATAGAATCGTAAACTATCAGAACCGTAATTCAGCAGAATAGTAAAATGTTAGATCCGTAAAATAACAGAATCGTAAAAATTCAGAACCGTACATCGACAGAATCGTGAAATATAGGAACTGTACGTCAGCAGAACCGTAAAAAATCAAAACCGTACATTGTCAGAATCGTAATTCATCAGAATGTAATGCAGCAGAACCGTAAAATGACAGACTGCAGAGAGGCCTACCAGCCACGCGCAGAGCGAACGCCGGTCACAGTGTTGCCTGCTCTCACGTCATGTGGGGATTCTACGTATACTTTCAGTTCGACCTGATTTTATGTTCCTATTGCTCTTGTACACTCGAGAATAAGATCGTTCATATGATATGAAGTGATGAATGACCACATTTCAATATAAAATATATGAACGTCACCCAACTTTTTTGCTATATGGAGAAGAAAGTGTTTATTTGAAGTATTTTCTTAAAAACTACAATTCCTTGAAGTCAGTTGAGAGAAGGGTTCGAGAAATAGGTGTTTGGCATGTTACAAGTGTTTGGAATCACACGTTAAAAGGTAAGGCCCCCGTCATTCCTTGCTCGCACAAGACTTTCGAAGACTTCTGAGGGTTGCTCGTAAGGGAGCAACCAAATGACGGATGAAACAATTTTACAATTTTTTTTTACAACAAACTTTGGAGTTTTCAAAGTTTGATTATAGATACAAGATATTGGATGTTCTTTATATGAATCTATGTCATACCCAAATTCATTCATTCTGTATTTTGTACTCATATTTCTAGAAAAAGGAAGAAGGTGATACGAAACTAGATTGAAATCGAAGTTCAGCTACGGAATTTAGTT